AATAAACAGAGGCAATAAATTACATTAATTCAGGCCTATTGTTTCAGGGTCGCAAAAATCCAGACAACCAGCAGGAGGCAACGATGCTGTTCTTTTTGCTATTCGGTGGGCTTTGTACAGGCAGTGCTTGACTTACGACCACAGCTGAGCCCAAAATTGATGTTGCTAAGTGAGACATTTGCTAAGTGAAGTGAATCACCGCGGTTGTTAAGTTACTCACACGGTTGTTAACTGAATCTGGCTTCCTCATTGATTTTGATCGTCCGGCGGTCGCAAAAGGGGGGAATCGCGTGACACACACACACACACACCAGGACACTGCGACTGTCATAAATATGAGTCAGGTGGCCAAGTGTCTGAATTTTGGATCACGAGATTGTGGGTCTGGATCTCAATGGATCTCAATCCTGGCGACTTTTAAGAGGAGTGGACTTCAACTGCCAGAATTCCCCAGCCCGAATGGTTTTTTTCAACTTTGGCAACAACTGGACTTCAACTCCCAGAATCCCCCAGCCGGCATAACCGGCTGGGGAATTCTGGGAGTTGAAGTCCACAAGTCTTAAAAGTGGCCAGGTTTGAGGACCCCCTGCTGTAATATCAGTGTCTGGGATATTTTTCAGTGCCAGCTGGCTGGGGGATTCTGGGAGTTGAAGTCCACAAGTCTTAAAGTTGCCAAGATTGAGAAATCCTGATCTAATCTAACCCTCTGCAGTATTTAGGATGCATCCTAATTATTCCCAAAGGCAGGACGTTGCCCGGGGCGCCCTCCTTTCTGCCCTCCGTCAATACGTACAGCTGGTCCCCAGCGTGGTCCTTTGGTCACCCAGCAAATCTCCGTGTGGCAGACGGTGCAACGGATCCAGTCGCAGCCATCCTTCTTCTGCACGATGATCCTGCAGCTGGGGCAGTACATGGCCTCCTCATTCCTCACCAGTCTCTGAAAAAGGGAGCAGAGCTGCCCAAAACAAGCCAGACCGTCTGCCCGCCTCTTCCTCCTGGCACCAGGAGGGAGAGGAAAGGGTTGATAAGAGTCCTAGTTTGGTTTAGTGGTTAAGGCACCAGGCTAGAAATTGGGAGACAGGGTAGTTCTAGTCCCGCCTTAGGCATGAAGGCTGGCTGGGTGACTTTGGGCCAATCACTACGAGACTGTGAGTTCTAGTCCCGCCTTAGGCATGGAAGCCAGCTGGGTGACTTTGGGCCAGTCACCAGGAGACGGTGAGTTCTAGTCCCGCCTTAGGTATGAAAGCTGGCTGGGTGACTTTGGGCCAATCACTACGAGACTGTGAGTTCTAGTCCCGCCTTAGGCGTGAAAGCCAGCTGGGTGACTTTGGGCCAGTCACCAGGAGGTGGTGAGTTCTAGTCCCGCCTTAGGCATGAAGGCTGGCTGGGTGACCTTGGGCCAATCCCCAGGAGACGGTGAGTTCTAGTCCCACCTTAGGCATGAAAGCCGGCTGGGTGACTTTGAACCAGTTTCTCTCTCTCAGCCCAAACCATCTCACAGGTTTCTTGTTGTGGGGAAAATGGGACGAGGGAGGACTATTAGGAATAGTTGCTGCCTTGAGTTATTTATGAAAAATAATAAATGTGGGTGAAAGATAGAAAGAGATAATATAGATAGACGATAGAGATTAGATAGATATATTGATAGACAGAGATGATTGAGAGAGATGATAGGGCTAAGGTTAGGATAGAAGGATGGAGGGAGGGAGGGATGGAGAGACGGAGACAGATTAGAGATAGATAGATAGATAGATGATAGATAGATAGATAGATAGATAGATAGATAGAGTGAGTGAGTGAGTGAGTGAGTGAGTGAGTGAGTGAGTGGATGCATGGACAGACAAATGGATAGAGATAGATGGATGGATGAACAGATATATAAGAGAGATAGACAGAAAGGTGGGTAGGTAGACGGGTAGACCAGTAGATAGATGAGATAGATGAACTAGCTAGCAGATAGATAGGTAGGTAGGTAGGTAGATAGATAGATGGTAGGTAGGTAGGTAGATAGATGGTAGGTAGGTAGATAGATAGATAGATGATAGGTAGGTAGGTAGGTAGGTAGGTAGGTAGATAGATGGTAGGTAGGTAGGTAGGTAGGTAGGTAGATAGATAGATAGATAGATAGATAGATAGATAGATAGATAGATAGATAGATAGATAGATAGATAGATAGATAGATAGATAGATAGATAAGATAGGCAGGCTGTCAGACAGACAGACCCCGGAGGGAAGGGGCTTTTTCTACAAATTAAGATTAGAGTTAGGGTCTGCATTTATATCTACCCAACCCACCAGAGTGGGCAAGCAGGGGATGTTACAGGTGGCCCCCTCTGCTAAGGAGATCCATCTGGTGGGACCACGAAGAAGGGCCTTCTCTGTGGTAGCTCCCTCCCTGTGGAACATCATTCCTGCAGAAATAAAATTGTCCCCCTCCACCCCATCTTGACGCTCTTTCAAAAGGCCCCAAAGACCTGACTTTTTTGCCAGGGGGTCTGGGAACCCCGGGGGGGGGGGATACAGAGCTCCTCCTGTGGCTGGTTTGTCGTGACCAGCGAAGTTGGGAGTTCACTGGCTTTTGTTATTGGGGTTTTATTTCTTCAGCCACCCGGAGTTGGGCGCCCCTTATAAATTCTCTTAATTCGGTAATAAA